ATAGGGGGTATTGGGGGGGGTTATGAGGGTGTTGGGGGCCGGTTTGTGGGTTTGGGGGGGTGTATGGGGGTATTTGGGGTGGGTATGGGGGTGTTTGTGGGGTTATTAGGGGTTCTGGACCGGAAAAAAAAAAAGAAAAAAAAAAGTGCGGGGTGCCGACGACCCCCGACCGGTAGGTGCCGACCAGCCGACCGGTCGGCGGGTTGGCAGCCGACCAGTCAGGGGTCGCCGACGGTCGGTGTGTGCAACACTGAATCAAAGTGAAATTAGCAAAAACCGAATAAACCGACCTCGACGTATCAAATAGTACAGTCAAAGACATAAGAAAGGAGCACACTTAAAGCTTGATAAAGGGTTTTATTTCTTTGGTGGTTTTAATAAAGGTGACAAGCTATTTAGCTGAGACCATGCAGGTCCAGGCAACCAACCAAGCAAGCACTGTTCTAGTCATGACATTGCAATATATAATGTTCTGCATCGTCCAGGAAAAATCAAGTAGTGATTCCGCGCTAGCCGAGAAGATGCTCAAGATTTTGCTGTCCCAAACCATCTGGTTCGAAGATCGCTGAAGGCAACGAGGAGCATTGTCTTCAGTTGTTGTGTGTGCACTGGCAGTGTAAGTGGCAGTACTTGGTTGCAAGTCCTCCCCGAAAGAACTCCAACCCATGCGCGTGAACGGCAGTACCCACACCCTAATCCCCAGAAATCGACACCTATCTTAGCTGACTTCTTTCGTTTCGTGCAGGTGGGGATCCGTGAGGAGAACTTGTCTCAGCCATACGGCCATTATGGCTGTATCCACACTGAAAGTTGGCCCAAATGCAGCTACAATGGCCGTAAGTTCTATTTGGGGGAAGCTGGTAGCCTCACAACGACTCACAGATATCGACACCATGCTACCGTCTTCCCCCGAACATAATGCATATGTGTTGTGAACAAAACGACACATAAGCATTCTATTCGAGTCATCTATTTTCTTCAAAACTTGAATATCACGCATATGACTTATGTTTGGGGGAAGACGGTCGCATCTGGCCATGCCCGTGTAAAGCTCTTAGCAACCTATCAGAGACCGCGGGGGCACTGCTCCTAGTATTAGTATGTAGGTCGCTGACTCTCTGATGCTGCATGGGTGCACGTCAAGTATGCTTTATGTCCTGGCATCGCCACTCTGCAATGGAATTATTGCTGTAGCCTCAGTCTGCATGCCAATTGGTACTTGATTTTAATGAGTCAATTCCTGCCAAGGAAGTAGAGATGCTCTTACATGTCTTGCGTATATTAATGTGATCCCCCTTCTTCCTTCTCTCTCCTAGCCTGCAACCAACATGCCGTTGTCTGGATTGTTTGGTGGGCTGGTTAATGCCAGCCATTGTCGCAACTGTTGTGCGGGGAATGCTCATCTAGGTCTTCCATGTCATCACCCACCTCATCTTTGTTCCATATACCTTTCTTTCCCTTTGTTTTCCTTTGCTGCGTGTTTCCTCTCTTTTTATCCGGTCTGAGGTCTCCCTTTACTTGCCTCTTTTTTTCACAGTGTGCAAGTGGGGCGTTATGGTTCACAGGGATGTAGGCAGCTTGCACTCAACTGCATCAACGTGGTGAGAATTGTGCGTGAGACGCACAGCAAATGAGTCCAGAGAACGGTTTCAGTGTGCCTCATGCTGTCTGCTATTCTCTTTGTTTGTTTTGCAAAGTGCGCTCATTTAGTTAACAGATATGTGATATATTAGTCTACAGTCTCTACACCTCTATGAAGTATGGATTCTCTCTCTCTCCCCCTACACGCATGCCAACACAGAGCACAGCCTTGCAAACCCTCCTCCACGGAGAGTAGGTTTTGGGAGGGGATAGGAGGGCAGGCAGGGGAGTCTCTCTGGATTGGAGGGGTCTGTCAAGACCCTCTCTTGCTACTGCTGGGTATGGAAGGCTGTTACGTGATTGATGGAGCCACTGAAGGGTTGGTACACCGTTTAGCCTGACATTTAGCCTGACGGGCAGTTAATCCCCTTGTTAGAGGGCAATCAATGTTGCTTGTCACCTATAATCCACAGCGCGCTCCGATTTTGTAATTGGGACGCTGGACCCAGTTTCTAGCTGGTGCAGCTCCCCACCAATAGATTGGAGCCATCTATAACAGGGCGCCTACTAGTGGAGGATGCTCTTATCACCTCCACTAATAGGCGACTCATGGATGTTTTCTTAAGGGAAAAAAAAAAGAAAAAACTGAACACAGCCTTGCTAGCTCTCCGCTCAGGTGGATCATCGGGATCGCACTAGCAGTGATGCCAGTGGATATTTGTGGCTGAGCTTGTGTCTAGTCCATGCCTGCTGGGTGTGCAGAGTGGGTTTTATCGCTGTGGCCAGGGTTGCACCCCCTGCTGTTGGCGGCCCTTGACTGGTTGGCCGCCGACCCGCCGACCGATCGGCAGGTCGGCACCTACCAGTCCGGGTTCGTTGGCAGCCCGCAATATCAATATGCGAGGATCAGGGTCCTCGGTAGGCCTATGGGGCCCTGCTTGCAGCATTGCCGGCCCTAAGGGAAGGCGGAGGTGCCCGCCCTAAGTGAATTCTCATATATGAATCATCCTTCGGCCTTAAATGTCAAATAAGAGAGGCCTCTGCTTCCCGTTGCGCCTTTGGCTCCACTCTGGCGATAGATCAGACGCGAAGCGTCTGCTCGAGTACAAATGCGGGTGCTGCCTCCAGCAAGCAGTTTCGGAGTTTGAGCGCCCCCTTCGTTCGCTGGCCGCTTATTCCCAGAAATACAAAATCATTTCGAATTTTTGAACATCTTCGTGGGTTTCTTGTGACTCTTGTCACTTCAGCTAAAACCCAAAATGAAACTTCCATTTTGTGGAGCGGGTTTTTACAGAAAGAAGTTTAGCCATATGTCAAATCAAGTCATTAGAGATCAAAAACGTAGATTGCTTGTTTTTTGAGTTTTTTATTACCTCAAGGTGTACCTTTGCCACTAGCACCTTTTTTAGTACTTCTTGAACTAATTTCTTATTGTTTTCGCGCACTAAGTCTAGGAATACGTTTATTTGCCAATATGATGGCTGGTCATAGTTTAGTGAAGGCGGGGCTGACATATGGCAAGAGGCCCTCGACTGTCAATTTCATATTTGGGGTCCAGGCAGTTGCGACGCGCCAGTTAGTTGAGTGAAACTCAGGCCGAGCAACAAAGACATTTCCACGGCCTTCCGGGCCTTTCCAAAGAATGCAGGCCCTGGGCGTGATTCGCAGCCTCATACAGAGACAGTTGGGCGCCCAACCGAACGAGGCCCAACAGCCCAGTAGCTGCTGTACACAGGCAGCCTCCTGG